GTCTTTGGCCCATCAACCTTTATGTTTTCCCAACATCAAGGATGTTGGGAAAACACAAATTTTCTTTGAAATTTCAATCTCAAATAAGGCATTTTTGCTAAAATACCGGTACTAAAGTTTCTTGGCCAAACTTCTTAAGCCTATTGTTACTAGCAAAAGTAATGTACGAAATGATAACTAACTATGCCAGCTACATAATATCATCCATATTTTGCGCTCAGAAGACTAAATGGATCATACCGTCGCGTTTAATGTTAGGATCTCGTAAGACCAAGTGGACTGAAATGTTGCCTTACATTTTTCAATATATAATTTTCAATGTTCCATACTCATCTATACACTACTTAGTAACTGGAATCACTAGAAATTATAACAAAAAAAATGTATGCGCTTAAAAAAATGTGGTCATTAAAGAGTCAACAGTTTTCTCGTGACAAAAACTCCAATGTGACTGATAAATATCAATAGAGTTGACATCCTGCAACACAAAACAGTAACAAGTGGTTGTGTAATCAAATAATGTGTTTCTAGATTGATAATATTGAATATCAGGTTTGTACTTTTATTAAAAACCTTGTAACACAAGAATTGCCTGTTGGTCCTGTCTTACCCCATGCCCGGTCCCATCTTACCCCAGTGGGGTAAGATGGGACCAGCTCACTTTTTTTAATCTGTACAGAAAACTGTGTTGTATGCAGAAAGTCTGAGTTGTAGCTTAGAAGCCCATTGCATAACTACACCTTGTGATAGGTTTAGGGTTTTTTATTTATTCATGGAATAGATGCTACATGCTTGTTAGTGATTTCGGTCCTGTCTTACCCCATCTGACTATATATATATATACAATTCAAATGATAAAAAATAGAACAGGCCATTGGCCAATGACACTTAAGCTTTCAAGAACCAAGATCATTGACACTTGGATTCTTTAATCTAAACTTACTAAAGGAGAACAGTCAACTCAAATTTTCATTAACTATCAAGTACCAACTACCAAGTTCTCTAAAAAAAATAAACAGAAAATGATCTTTCATGTGAGAATCTCATTGTTCTATTGAATTTTTAATTTATCTCATTATAGGTTTGACATTTTTGACTTATGTAAGTAATTGTAAATTATGCCATTAAATTTGTGTATAAATATTTCTAGGTAGGAGAAACTTTGAAGTTTTAACAAAAATAGTAAGGATCTAATATGGTTTGAAAATTGGTATTTATATATATAATTAGAAAAAAGATTCAGTACTATTCAATTCAAGATGATGGTAATTACAATTAGATGATTCTCATATCGTAGTATATGGAATATCAAATCATATGGATGAGATATGTTGAGAGCAATATTGTATGGTAACATTAAACTTGAGAATAGACCACACCAAGAATCGAGGTCACTTGCCTGCAAGGCTCACCTCAGGTGAGACACCAAACATTCCTGGAAAAGATCATAAATCATACGTATTATTTTTAATGATAGAGAAAGATGAGGAGTAATGGTTACCTATGGAGTAAAAGTAATGGTTACCTTATATGATTGATAATTTTTGCGGTTATTCTGAATTAGGAGAGTCAGGTTGGAAATGAGAAAAGATGTGACTGGATAGTCTGGAATTCAATGATTGTTGCATTGTTGGTATGCGTGTGTCCCTAACTTCCTAAGAATCCTAACTGGAAAAATATAACTCGGTAGGTACTCACTGCAGTGAGTGACAGAGAGCGCATTTTCTTGTCGATGAAAACAATGTCACGAATGGACGGACAGAGACGGAGGGACGGACATGACGAGCACAATAGCACCTTTTTTCCATAAATGAGAAAATGTGCTAAAAATGGGAAATTTGATGCATTAAATATTAATATGCCTGTTCAAACCCTTTTGCATGCCTTTTAAGATGGAAAATTGTCAATAATTTTGTGAAATGCCTAAAATTTTATTTAAATAGAATTGAACTCTGTCATGCCCCATGCCTGGAAGGTGTTGTGTGCATGCCCAAGGAGTTTTTATTTGGGATATGTGCTGCAGTGCTGGTAGTGGTATGCCAGGTATAAAAGCTTCGATTTTTCATGCCCACTGAGCATGCTAATAAACAAATGTACTACAGCTGCTTACGGTACAGCACTGAGTCTCTTGGGTACAGTGAGAGTGTGAGACTGTTGATGACATCATCAATGAAATCATTGGCCACCATGACCAAATCAAAATGAATAGGAACATTGCTTTCCAAGTTTATCCTGGTTGATACTAGTTGTGAAACAAGGTAAACACCACTTTCTAAGTTAAAAAGGACTACATAGTTTCAAAACAATGTGCCATGTGGGCCACCTGCAATACATTGCAATGAATATAAACACTGCTTTTCCTGTTTATACCAGTTTGTTAGTTTTGAAACATATAAACCATTTTCCAAGTTTATGCCAGTTTATACCATGTTTGAAACAATATAAACATCCATCTTCAAGTTTATACCAGTTTATAATTTATACTAATTGGATATGGACTTACCGGTATTGCTTCAAGACTGCAAATGACAGATACAAGGAACCAAAACAAGCGGGAGATACACACAGTGACGGTGTTGCATGTAGTGATGGCTGAACACTGCTGGTAACTGGGCAATGTATCCTGAATACTGCTGGCAGCGTGGAGATGCTTGCTAAATACTGCTGACAATATTTCGAGTTTACAAACCATATCTTGGCAATTCATTTGCCAAAGTTTGCTCCTTGGTTTGGAACTATTGTCAAATTATTATAGCATAGTAAGAACAATAATAGTCAGAAGCATTCTATCAGAATTGCCAAAAGCATGATAACATGGCCTCAAACACTAATTGGGCCCACTACTAGGCCATGGTCGCCTTTAATGGAGGAGATATAAAATGACCATATATGGTCACTAGCAGGCAAAAGAGACAAGTAGAAAATTTCAATATTGTCCAAGGGTGTTATTGATCTTTTTAGGCTATGATTTGTGTATATATATATATACTATGTAGAAATAACTTGATTTTATTATTGAAATAGGTTTTACTAAATAGTTTATTTCTAGTATATCTTGTTTATTACAGCACATGATTTTATTATAAGGTCAGTGTAAAAAAAATGATTGCTGAAAGCCTATTGACCGGAGTGGCATTTGGATATCTCATTCTTGCTCCATATACTAAAGTAGAAGAAAGTTTCAACATACAAGCATGCCATGATATGCTATACCATGGTCCTTTCTTGAGTCGGGTAAGTTAAAAGCTTCCATAGAAATAACTTCAGAAAATATTGTATACCTTTTCAAAAAGTACATATTGAAATCTTGACTAGTAGGACATTTGTTACAACTGCTGTATTTGTTTCTTGATTTTTTTTTGTTTTAGCATCTCAAATCAGTAGCATCGCATATATACATATATAGTAAGTAAAAAGTAATTATTTATTTATTCAATTAATTTTCTATCTATCCTTTGGCAGAGCATTTATTTGGTTGTATAAATGCTAAATCTGAATTTTTTTCAGTATGACCATCATGAATATCCTGGAGTTGTGCCTCGCTCATTCTTGGGGCCTGCTATGCTATCTACCTTGGCTCTTCCATTTGTTACAACTGCAAGAGTGATGGGTGTCAATAAAATATATTCTCAATATTTGGGTAAGCATTTAAATTTATTAGACTGATTATTTATTGTAAAATTTACCATAAGCATTAATACAAATTTTTGGGTGCATATTATCAAGTGACTTGTAAACTTTATTGTAGAGTTTTCAATTGATTCCTTTCACGGTACTTCTTTACTGCATGTTAATTTTTGTGTCATTAATTTTTATATTTTTTTTTTTGTTACAGTGCGACTTGCTTTGAGTTTGCTTGTGGTGTTTGCATGGAGTCGCTTCTACCAACAAGTAAAAAAAGGATTTGGAATGGGCGTTGCCGTGTGGTTCACAGCCATCACCATTACTCAGTTCCACTTTGTCTATTACCTCTCACGAACCCTGCCAAACAGTTTTGCTCTCATATTTGCTCTCCTCTCATGTTCTTATTGGCTCGAACAGAATCACAAAAAGTTCATAGTTGCAAGTGGCATTGGTGTTGCCATTTTCAGAATAGACCTTGTTCTTATGCTTGGTCCCATGCTTGTTCATGATCTGGTCACCAAAAGGATTGGCTTGAAGAGGTATGTATTCTCAATTTTTTATTAAACAAAAAAATATTAAAAATAAGGGAAGTTTAAAACTGCAGGTTTCAATCAATAGTTATTTGCTGGTGTATGAAATAGAAATTAGGTGGTTATGTACAAATTTGTATATTGGGCAAAACAATGGATCTGCTCAGCCTCAACTCATGTGAATGGTTTCATAGAAATTGGACTTGGTTTCTGAGGGATTAATATTTACACTAAATTGCACTAATTTCTTAGCACTTTCTATTTATTATGTGTTTATATTTATACCAAACACTTAAGCTATTCAAACTTACTATTATTGATCAGAGATTTTCGTTCCTAGTTACCTACCAATTAATAAATTTCTCTCCTTTTCCTGATACACAAGCATAAATTAAACATTTTTAATTGTAACTTGAAAATGTATAAAAATAACTGAGGTTCAACTAATTTTTATCAAATTTTCCCCCAGTTGTTTGTTTCAATCGGTGACAGTTGGTGGCACACTGCTGGCTGTTACTGTTGCATTTGACAGCTTGTTATGGGGGCGGTGGGTGTGGCCTGAAGGCGAGGTCTTTTATTACAACACCATACTCAACCAGAGCCATCATTGGGGGGTAATAAAGCTGCAGAACAAAATCTTACTTTAATGTTTGATACAGACCAACTTGCAGTTATGGTTGACGTAAATTGCTGAAATTGAACATGTTTCCAAGGTGCTTGTGTAATTTGGTTTAATTGTAATAGCTATTTCGGTCCAAGTAATGACAGCAGATTGTGGCCAACTACAAGGCGTTGCCAGCAAATTTACTTACTTATTTACATTTTTAGTCATTAGCTACAAATGCTATTGGGTTTCGAAACTAAAAGCTATTGAATTTTGCTGCAAAACTTTGAAAATTATCAATGTATATTTTCAATTCATCAGCTGTCTTCGAGGAATGTTGTTGTGCGGGAATTATTTGTACATTGAAAATATTTCTAACTTGAATATGTCCTTTGTTATCAGGTAATAATATTTGTCATATTGCATTACCATTCAGTTTAATACTTTCTCCGCCGTCAATGAGTGGTTTATATATTTCATTTTTTCGTACAGAAGCACTTGCTAAAACATTGCTTTCACTTGCTGCTGCACCAAAAATCAAGCTCAAGATACATGTAGAATAAAGCAGCAAAATTTTTACTAAACCAGGTGATGGTGGAGTAACATATAAATATTTTATGTAGACCCAGCCCCTGCCATGGTACTTCTACTCAGCGTTACCCCGGGCCCTGGGTGCAAGTATCCTCTTCGTGCCAGTAGGCATAGTGCTGGACAAGCGCATGCGGCTTCTAACGGCGCCCGCGCTCGTCATGGTGGCGCTCTTCTCGTTGCTGCCTCACAAGGAGCTACGCTTCATTATTTACGTCGTGCCTCTCTTCAATGTTGCGGCGGCATATGCATGTCAAAACTTGTGCGTTGCAGCACCAATCTAATATAAATATTTATTATGCTTGAGAATTCTTATTATCGTAACATTGTAAGAATTATTCATTCATTATTTACGTCGTGCCACTGTTTAATATCGCGGCTGCATATGCATGTAAAAACTTGGGCGTTTCATCATTTATCCATTGTAATAATTTGTTGTGCTCGAGAATCCTCTATGATCCTAACTTATACCAATTATTAACGTATTAGAACTAGGATTTCTGGTTCAAATGCTGTTCTTGAGTAAGAATACTCTTAGCAGTACACATATCGTATCTTCACTTATGTTAATACTTTGACGGGACTTCCAGAGCAAATAAATTGCAATTGTCCAGTTAAACCGTGAATTAAAAATAATAGAGCAAACGTATATCAGGATAAAAAAATAATATATTCCATGGTGGCCAGATACATGCGTTGCCGCAAGAGCACGCGCTGGTCGGCGCTGAGCGCGGTGGTGGTGGGGCACCTGCTACTCAACTGCCTCCTCACTGCCTTGCTCGCGTCCGCCTCGGCCGCCAACTATCCTGGTGGTAAGCAGGGTTGTCAGAGTTTATGGAAAAACCACCATAGTATCAGCCCACAAAAAAATAGAAAGAACTAAACCGACTAATTTGGTACTGACTACTTCCAAATATACTATTTAACCGACTAATTTAATACTTTGAAATTTGTAATTTGGTTTGCAACAGTTAAATTCTTAACTGTTCTTTAGGCTATAAAAATTACATCTGGTTTTATGCTCCCATAAATTTTTAGTGGTCAATTGAATGCGAAAAAATGCAAATTTGCGAATTATGTTTTTTATTTTTTTATTATATCATTAGTTTGCCTAAATTACAAGTTATCTAAAATCTTGAAAAGCCAAGAAAATGCCACCATATATTCATCCTAATAAAAGTTTTCAGGGAATATTTGTCTAATTTACTAGGCCTCTTGTTTGCTGTTAAATTATTTATTGGTAAGTTTTATCTTTCTGAAGTAGTCTCATTTCAGATGTATTCTTCACGCTGGCCAAAAAATAATATGTTATTCTGATAGCTGGGGTGCCAATCATGAACTTTTAATTATATCCCATAAAATTAATTCAATATTTTTTATACATTCAAACGTAAAAAATGAAAAAAACATCCATAGGTGTAGCGTTGTGGCGGCTCCACGAGCTTGTCCCAGCCGAGGCGCACGTGTCCGTCCACATCGACAATCTGGCAGCTCAGTCTGGAGCGACGCGATTCCTGCAAATGCACCCAAACTGGCAGTGAGTCATCGCCGAGTAACTCTGTAAATTTTAGGGGTTGTTCCTGCGACGTAGCTATTATTTTGTTAGGGAGTTGTTCCAACAACATTGTTCTTCCTGTTCGTAGGAGTTGTACCTGCGACGTAGATGTTGTTTTGTTTAGAAATTCTTTTTAAAACATGGTTCTGCTTGTAGGAGTTGTTTCTGCGAAATAGCTGTTATTTTGTTTAGAAATTGTTCTTAAAACAGTATTACGTTTGTGAGTTGTTTATGCGATATAGCTGTTGTTTTGTTTAGAAATTATTCTTAAAACAGTGTTCTGTTTGTAGTTGTTTCTGCGACTTAGCTGTTACTTTGTTTAGAAATTGTTCTTATTTGTGTTCTGTTTGTAGGAGTTGTTACTGAGACGTAGCTGTTTTTATTAAGGAGTTGTACTTAGTTCAACATTGTTCTGTTCGGGCATTGACCTCGCGACATTGCTCTGTTGTTATGTTTAGCTGTTCTCACGGAATTATTCTCTCTCTCTCTATCTGAACGTTCAAGAGCTTTTACGACATAGCACTGTTTTATGTTCTTTTGTTTTTTCGAAATAGCTCTATCTGAACGTTCAATAATTGTTCTTACCACATAGCTCTGTTGTACAGGGTGATTCACAGATACTTCATGATTTGAAATGACGATAAAAAAGGAACTAGTAAAGATACCATTGCAATATAAATTTTTATCGAAAAAGACTTTACTTAAATTTTTGTATCACTTAGTTTTAAAGATGACATCGGATAAATAATGGCCATTATTGTTAACGCATTTGGTCAATTTTTGAAGTTCTGTTCAACTCGCTGAAGCATATTGACGAGTATGTTAGCGATGGCTTGGCGTATGTGGTTCTTCAAATGAGATGGGATCCTTTTACAGCCATTGTGAAAAAATTATTTAAGATAACACCTTGAAAAAAAAAATCGCACGGAGCCAAATTGGGGGATCGGGCCGGCCAAAGAAGGTCACCTCTCAAGGAGATTAGGCGCTCTGCATAATGTTGTTGCAAGATCCATTGAACATCTAGCGTGTGGGCCGTGGCTCCATCCTGTTGGAACCAGACATATCTGACTTTTGGCAAAAGAAGGCGTCAATTATATGCATGTACGAAGCTGCAGTCACCGTTACTGCGCGTTCGTTTTCCTCGCAGAAATAAGGGTCAATTATGCAGCCTTTTGACACTGCAAGTTCACACAGTTACGCGCTCACAATGAAGTGGCCGCTGATGGAATTCACGCGGATTTTTATCACTCCAATAGCGCATGTTTAGCTTGTTTACGCTGCCAGAAACGCTGCATTAACACTTCCATTTGCCCTAAATGTGTTCACCCACCTAACAATTGATTTCCGATCAGGAACCCGACATGAAGGACGAATACTTGCCAGGGTACGGAATGCTTGTTGAGTAGCGCTCGACAGCAAACGCACGCTGCTCACTTGTCCAATGCATAGTGGTAACTGACTAGACGGACCCATAACTTCATGACTTTGCCTTTCATATGAAATGCCCATTTCCTACAACATCTGGCTGCATGGCGCAGAATACAAAACAGGAAAATCCGTGAATCACCCTGTATGTTCAGGTGCTCTTTCCACATTGTTCTGTTTGCACGTTCGGTTGTTTTTAAGACTGTTGCTTAGGTATTAAACGAGCTGTTCGGCCCATTTCTGTTTGCTTAGTCTGGAATTGGTATTATTTTTCAGCATGATTTAAGAATGATTCCATTTCTCAGTACCGATGATGTATTTCGATAATCAAATTTGAGGTGGTAGATGGTTTCCAGACCACGTATCTATTATTAATTTCTTTATAATTTTCTATAATAAATTCACCTATTACAATTTTTTATGTCAATTATGTTGAGATGTGTAATGACGGACATATTTGTCTCACGTAACTATGTTATCTCCAATGAAGTTGATAAGTTAAAAATATTATATTTCTTCATCCAAAGCTACAACAAAACTGAAGATCTGCGGCCAGGCAGCCGCGAGTTGCGCTCCTTCTCTCACCTGCTCGTGGAAGCCAAGAATAAATACGCCTACAACCTCAAGCACTACGCCGACACACACAGAATTCTCGAGGCCGTCGAAGCTTTTTCTCACCTCAGCTTCAACTACCAACAATTTCCTCCTGTCAAAGTGAGAATTTAGTAAATAGTTCCAAATCTTGATATTTATTTTATCAGCTGTGTGTTCTCATATTTTATGTATGATTTTCGTTTGCAATTTTATGCGTTTCACGCCAAGGTGTAATCGTAATTACTTCTGGAATCTACTTCTTTTGTTAGAATCACTATTTTAGTCATGTCATCATATCTATATTTATTCTTGTATAAAAAATGAAATATTTTTTTTATAAAATTACTGGCTAAATAAGAATATGACTGATTTTATGATAATTAAATTAATTGTACATTTTCTGTGCTCAGATTCGCATGAAGCCTACGCTGTTCATTCTTGAGAACCAGAGGATAGAAGATATTTTGTCCTACCATACATTTAAAGAGCCAGAAGTATTCACAACAGATTTTTCAGAAAGCTTTGAAACTGACGATTTAAATGCTACATTGTTAACTCCTCCTGATCAAGAAGAACCTGTGGCGTTTAAAACGCAAGACAGCAAGGATAAAAATGAGAAAATGTTAAATAAAAAGGCTCAGAAAAAGAAAATAGATCTTGACGAAGGTAATTTAGAAAAAGGCGTGCCTGTGGAGAAATCTGAGGTCGGATTAGGTGAAGACAACAGTAACACTTCTGAAACAATTTCCATCATGGATGAAATTCAGCCCTCGCAGAAAGATGGAGTACTGGTTTTGAATGACGTTTCAAGCGCGAAAGTAGAAGACGAAATTTCAGAAAATATTTTGAATCTTGATGCTGACATTGGCTCTGAAAAGCAAAAGTCATCGTTCATTACGGCCAACGAAGGAGAAAACACGAATAAATTGACGAAAGAAACTAGACTTCATCGTAATATGAAGCCGGCAAAAGATAAACAAAACACGAAAAATGTTACTCCAACTGCAGCCGACGTTTCGTCAACCTCAGAAAGGGAAATCAAGAACGTTGATTTGGATGAAGATAAAATAACATAGTTGCCTATTTTTGCCTGAAGTGATACGTTGCTACCATTCAAGATTCTCGTGGTGCCACACCCGTTCTACATGTGGTCCTCCAGATGCTCAGTTCAAAAGAGTTTGTATGAGAATTCACGGGAAGGAGGATAGCATCCGTACGGTGGGAACCACGTTTTTTAGGCGATCAGCTGTCAAAGTATAGGATTGCAATCGGGATTATTTATTACTAAGCAACAGAAACTACGTTGACCAGGATGCATCTCAGCATAGCCTTGAATTATTGGCATGAGAGATAAGAAGCAATGGATGGTGCATGCCCTCTCTGAAAGCAGAAAGTTTTCACGCGTTTGCGCTCAATAGGTTCATTCAAAATTTTGTGTCTATAATTATATTTATCTTTAGGCAGGTTTCATAGAAGACAGGAGAATTGGTTTTATTGACAATTTTTTTATGAAATTCTCTGGTCTTCAATGAAGCCTGTTTGAAAGAACAAATTGTGCCATCCTATACTAATATATGCATATATGTACAGTTTTAGTTTGTTTTCTTGTTATGTGTGATCTCGAAGTGTGTGTTTGTACACGGATTTTAATCCATCTGATAACTGTTCACTATGCTATCATTATTTAAGCCCATTTTGAAGTCTAACTGTTGTTTATCAGGTTTTTATGTAATTAAATTTTTTGCAATGAGAATAAATTTTTAAATTTTGCATTAATTCTGCATGTTTGTTTGATGATTACACTATTATTAAATATATTCATGGCAATAAAAGAAAAAATGTTACGAATGCATCATTTTACTGAGAATTAATGTTCAGTGATACTGAATATTCTTAAGACTAGCTGGACTTGATAATGCTTGAAAGTTGAAATTGCTCCAAACAAGTTTCATTTATTAATGAAAACGGCGCTGTGACGATAAAATTGCCTTCGACGGGATACATCAACGTTTCATTATACCTGTGCCTTCAGTCCGCCTTTTCAAGTAGCTCACATCCTCTAGAAGGAGTGATCTCTCAGATCTTCAAAATTCTAACGATCGTCATCGGTTTCACCCTCGGCTTCCCGTAGTGCATCATCGGTTCACTTCTTTTTGTTAGGATCCTTGTACGGGAGGACGTAGCGCTGGGCGATGCGCAGGGGCGGCGAGTAGCCGTCTACGTAACTCGAATCTTCAAAGAGAACCTCATAGTCATCGCAGGCGAGGGTGGGGGGCTGGCTTACGTACGCCTTGTAGAAGCACGTAGTTTGTGGGTACAGCGCCATCACTGCAATAATTCACATCGCTTTGTCAATAGTTGGCAATGTTGGGCGAGGCTTGAAAAGTTGAGAATAAAAGTCACAGTGTTCGTTGATTATGGTTCAATTTGAAGTTACGTTATAAGCTATAGTTTTTAACATAAGAAAGACCACTTTGATGGTTCATTCAAACCTAACTTAACAGAAATATTGCTACATCTAAGACACATTTACCACCCAATGAATGAGATTTCGAGACTTAACTCTAAATCCTTAAAGAGCCAGTAAATAATGTCCTTTAAAAATGACACAAGCATGGAGCGGACAATATTTATTCCTCTATCTCAAAAATTAAATTAAATTCTCACCAATAGTTCCTTCGGGATACAACGCCTCAGGATTAGTTTCAGGATTGGCACGTCGCAGAGGCAGAGGATATACGCGTCTCCTGCTGAGCGTGTGTCGCTCTTTCTGTTCTTCGTCGATGTCCTCGACCTCGTAGCGGCCCGTGCTTGGGTTGAAGCCGCTAATTTCCGCTAATATCCAATTCTCTTCACCCTCTGACCCACGCACCAGACATGCAGCCATGTCACCAACCTGCAAAGTAAATTTGATTTCAACGCACAACTTTACAGAGCATTTCTTTTAATATTACCTGTTTAAGAAATGGAGTTGGAATAACATTGAAAACATTATGAAAAGACTACAAACGAAAACATAGAAATGTTGCCTACATACGTTGGGACAAAGAAGAGCATCTATCGACTCATTTTAATAGACTAGTTGGTATCATTAAGACGGAAAATTATGCAACTAACCTAAATATTTAAAGCAGCTGTGGTGACGGAAAGCAGAAATGAAAAACTGTACCTATCATATCCCTAATACGTTAATATTAAAAACCGTACCTTTCATCTCCCTAATACGTTAATATGAAAAACTGTACCTTTCATCTCCCTAATACGTTAATATTAAAAACCGTACGGTACCTTTCATCTCCCTAATACGTTAATATGAAAAACTGTACCTTTCATCTCCCTAATATGTTAATATTAAAAACCGTACCTTTCATCTCCCTAATACAATAATATGAAAAACTGTACCTTTCATCTCCCTAATACAATATGAAAAACTGTACCTTTCATCTCCCTAATACGTTAATATGAAAAAAATATAACTCAGTACTCACTGAAGTGAGTGACAGAGAGCGCATTTTCTCGTCGACTAAAACTTGAGGTCACGGACAGACGGACAGACCGACAGACAGACGGACATGGCGAGCACAATAGTGCATTTTTTCCATAAATGAGAAAATGTACCTTGTATGAGAAATGTGTAAAAAGTACCTTTCAACTCCCTAGCACGTTATGAGTTGAACGATGGCAGGGTTTATCTGTTCGATTATTCTTTAATTAAATTTTCATTAAATTTCTCCTTTACCTTAACGATATAATTAGACTCTGGGGGCACGGAGCCGCTCAGAGGAGGTGGCTTGTCGGCCGGCCCGCCCAGCCACACAGGCAAGGTCTGCGCGCAATTGAGTAGCATCTTCATGAGGGCGCCGCGACGGAATGTTTCTTTGTTGCCCGAACTTTTGGCCTGCAAGAAATGCCTCGGTAATAACTAGTATAAATGCTGTGGATCAAACATTCAAAACTGTTTATTAGATTGGGAATATAACAAAACCAACATGTATAATTTGGCAGCTGATCAAAGGCTGTGACAGGTTGTGCAGGTCTATAGAACGATGCAGTAAAAAAAAAACTTTCACGAAAAACTATTACTTGATTCAGAGAGATTATAAAATGACTCAGAAGATATTCATTGCTGTGGATATTAAAAAGATAGATACTTGCTAGTATTCTGAGGACATGTTCTATAGCTCGTATCTGGTATGCTTGCCTGTATCCTGAGGTCATGTCTCATAGCTCGTATCTGGTATACTTGCCTGTATTCTGAGGTCATGTCTTATAGCTCGTATCTGGTATACTTGCCTGTATCCTGAGGTCATGTCTTATAGCTCGTATCTGGTATACGGTGTTGAGGGCGCGATGCACGAGCTGCAACTCTTCTCCCACCTCGCCCAACGCCTGCTCGTAGTCGCGCTTCAGGCGGTTCTGCTCAATAGAAAACTACATTACTGTTTGTACATCGTAAATGCATGTTCCGTTTCTTGAAAATACCAGTACATGGCTACCACAAAATAGCATGATTAAAATAATCACAAATAGTATTCAGAGTAATGCATCTGTCATTTATCCACAGCTCACCTTGAGATGCATCCAGATCATGGTGATCAATTGAATCTATACATGCTTTCAAATTTTTCCACACATAATAATATAAATTCCTGAAGAAAAAATAGGAAAAATACAAGAACATGAACCAATCATTATCTTACACATATTATTTAAAACAAATACTAGTATTTGAGATTACTCACTCTATTATTTGTAGTGATTTTTTCCTCTGCAACGATTTTATCTGACAAAGTGTTGATCGAGTTGAGTGTAGTCTCATTCTTGTCTCTCGTTGCCTGCAGCTCAATAATGCTCTTTGATAGAACTTTCACGTGCTCCTATGCAGGAATTTTCATGAACAAGTAAGATAAGGATGAACAAAATTCAAGAAAATCAACACAATGGGTGAAGAGAAAAGTTATCATGAAACGACTAACACTACATAACAATTGAGGCAACAAGCATTTAAAATTTTATTTTGATATTGTTTGAAAAACTCAGTTTTGGAACATTACATTGGCTTTACATTTGGCATCAAAAATTTTTTTAGCACAATCCTTAAAGGTTATTTCCTAACTGATATTTCTAACTGATTTTCATTTCCAAACTGATATACAAAAAAGTTCTCTACTTTGCAGATGCATCAATTTCACAAAGCAATCTTTCAAAAACCACAAATTTTATTCATTAGAAAAATTTCATCAGAATAACTAATTTGAGCCTGATATGTACTTGTAGAGCCTGTGCTTCAGAGCTCATTGCCATGGCCATTTCTGTGGAAGTAGATAATGGGTACGGAGTGACATTGATTGGAGGAATTTCTCTCTTGAGCACCTCCCTCTTGAACCAGGACCCATTGCCAGAACTTGAAGAGCCTCCCCCACCTCCTTTGCCTTTAGAGGGAGATTTTGGAGACTCCACAGACCGTTTGGGGCTTCCTGGTGCAAGAATAATGAATAAATTATAATTATATTTGTTTTTGAGGTGTCAAGAGTAGCTTCAGGGTACAGAGCGACTTGAAAGAGTCGCTTGAAAGCTACAATTGCAATTTTAATTATCTTAATTGATTGCTACTGGGAAAGAAAATGCAGTTGTTACATAACCTAACATTATAATTCACTAGACTGTATGGTCAAGATCATTAGAATTAAATGTTACAATTTCATTACAATGAAGTATAAAAAGACCTGAAATAACATTATTCATTTTTAATAGTGGCTTTAACAGTCTAGGAGAATTTATAGAAGCAAATTATTTTATTCACATATACCGTTTAAGTTAATCAACTACCATCAAATGGGGTAATAGGGGATGATTTTGAGTATTTTTTAATTATAAATTCTTACCATGAAACATTTCATAAACGAGTTTGAGCTTATTTTAAAAGAGGGTTAAGTGGGACAGTCATCCAACATTTTGTAGAAATGTTGAAGCAGCTAAACTATTCAAGATATTGCAAAACTAAAAATAAAGGTGAAAAGTTCAACATTTTTACTATCTATGTAGCATTAAGCAAGTTAAGGAATAATAGATTTGCTACCTCTATAAAATCCATTAAAAAAAAGTGTGAAAAGTGAGATTTTGGAAAAGTACCTCTGCTAATGTCTGTAGCAAAAGAAAGTATTTGCAGTATTAAAAAATTTTACTTACATAAAAATTGCACACAGGTGTTGGCTTAAAAAAGTGATTGACAATTGACGGAATTTGCATATCTTGTTAAAAAAAATGGCGGCTATTTCTGCAGGACAGGGTAATAAGGAACACCCCTTGGAGTAATAAGGGACACCCTAAAAATGCATTTACCGTAAAATGGGGTAACTTTGACCATTTTTTTTTCAAAATGATGCCATTTTTTTACTAGATAAGTTAAACTTAAATTGAAACATGCAAAATACAGGTCTATACTCTAGCTTTACTCGCCATAAATTGCTGGCTCCTGCCTCTCATAGTTTTGATGTAATTTAAAAAAAAGTGATGGTCTTTGTTACCCCAGCTCTTGGGGTTTCTTTGACCAGGTGGTAAAATCAATTTTATTTTTTAGTAAAATAACTCCAAATAACTCCAGGTTGTGGTGCATTGTAGTAGAACTCTTCTAGTTACATATAACGTACAAAAGACAGATTTTAGGAAAGTATCATAGTTTGCAAATGGGGGCGCCGCCCCCAAATGGGCAAAATGTGACCACCTAATGGCAGCCGTGATGGGGTAACATAGACCGGTTTGGAAATTAAGTTAAAATTACCATATATAAGACTCTGTAGAGTCTGAAACATAAAGAAAAAAACATTAATAGGTATATCAAACATAAAATATGTTATATAGGTACCTATGGTAATTTTAACTTGATTTCCAAGCCGGTCAATGTTACCCCGTCACAGCTGCCGTTAGGTGGTCAAAGTTACCCCATTGGGGTGCGGTGCCCCCCATTTGCAAACTATGACACTTTTCTAAAATTTGTCTTTTTCATTTGTAACTAGAAGAGTTCTACTACAATGCATCAAAACCTGGAGTTATTTTACCAAAAAATAAAAAAATTGGAGGGGGTACTCCGACAGGCTTTAAATAATAGCTCTTTTTTGTGGGTCACATTTCTAATTTTTTAACCTATTAGATATGCAAACTTTTTAAATCTTTCTATTGTGTTACATAGCCTCAGTATTAGGCCTTTGATGGCCATTGACAAAGTTTTTATATGTCGAATCATTTTTGAGTTTTGGGGGTTTTTGTTAAAAAAACAAAAAGTGGTCAAAGTTACCCCGCCGGTCAAAGTAACCCCATTTTACGGTACATTAGATCATAGATTAGCAAAGGCTCCAGTTAATGAAAAAATCAATCAACAACAGAAAATTTTGAGTACATTTACCTCGATCAGCAAAGAAATTTCCCTTGATGAAAAAATAATGCGTCATCACAAAATTGTGCATAGAATTGTGCACGGGGCAACATAGAATGAAAAGTAATTAACCTAAACTATGATTTATTTCTCCAAAGAATATGATGGTTATCACTAAAATATTCCTTTCCATTTCAAATATGTTTTAATGATCTTTTTTGTAATAATGAATTCACGTCACTCAATTAAAATGGTGTGAAATTACAAACTTTCCTGTAAACTTAGATATATACAGAATATACGCTATATGGCTGCCGATATGAAGCTTGCAGTGGACAAGGTTGTCGTAAATGCTCAATGGTATGTTCATGGATATGGTAATATCACATCAATAATACAGTAATGTATGAATAAGGTAACATCATAAAGTGCCCTGGATTACCATGTTCCCAGGAGTAATTCAGGATGGTTTTATTTTGCGTCTGGCACCTTACAAATAGCATATTGAATTTTTTCAGACATGCCTTACGATAGCTCTTGCAAAGAGCTTTGAAATGAGCCCAAACTTGTTAATGAAATGTTTCTTGGTATGAAGTTTTAGACAAAAAATGCTCAAAACCGTCCCTTATTACCCCCTTTGGTGGTACTTCAGATTAAATAACTGCAGAGACAATATCTACACTCACCAGCATTTCGATCCTTGCCTTTTCCCATCTCAATTGTTGATATTATTCTTAAACTTCAAAGTGAAAATTCAACACTTGAAACTTGTATGATTGAGAAATAATTGAATGTCATCCAATCAACATACATGTTTTTACACATACATCATCATACAAGAAGATGACACCTGCAGGTTTCTGCAAACATGATTTCAAGAAGCATATAGCTACAGGCACAGGATTTCAACATGAAAAATGCATGAGTTTGATTATATTTTATGTTACAACCACTTTAAGCTTTTTTATAGTTTTATGCATGTAAGTCAGTTCAATAACCGGTACCTTTAAGCAAGTTGTAAAGATGTAACTCAGGAACTATATTCAGAAATGATATTCAGGATTGATATTTTTCAGTATTAAATTTTCTGCAATGCCTGGTTGGTCACTGAATTTGGAGACCGGTCGTAAAATTGTCAATGATTGCCTACTTCAGTGCCTGTCCGTTGTGTTCTGAAAGGAATCTTCCATTACTTTCTTCTCACAGCCAAATGCTACCCATATCTTGTACTAACTGTACCTCTTAACATGAACAGCAGAAAAGCATGGTTAGTCTTCCCCTGTGGGTATGAATGAATATATGAATACAGTACCCTTTATGATGAATATTTTGTATATCAAAGTACAGTATATGGTAGTTAAAAATTTAATAAAAAACTAATCAGATGAGCGGAAATGATGTAGAATTTTACCAGAGGTATTTCTATTTAGACATTTGCCGGTTGTGTACATAGCTTTCAGAGGGTGCGCAGCCGTGCACCACCAATTTTGTACACTAATAAGCCCTGAATTGAACGCCACCTTGGATCTCTCTGGATAGCCACCTATCAGCCGCCAACTACTCGGCTTTGTCCTCCTCCGGCCTTGCACAGAACCTGCTGTGCACCACCAGGCCGCAGATGGAATATGACTTCTGGCATCGTTAAGTTACATAATTTTATGTTAACCGCATCTGAGGTTAGGTTTCAGATAGCATAGTTCTGTTCCAAAATTTATCGTCCTTCGACAAGCGGCCGCTTGACCGAGGGCTGGTTTGACGCATAGCCTAGATATGATTGTCCAGAAGTGTTGAAGGCTACGTTCCGGAAGGCAGGAATCATGATGGTCAATTATTACATCACAGGCAGTGGTGGTCTTCAGCAGGCAACCTCTTTCAGATATGCAGCAATAGATTTGATTATAGAAGTCCAAGGTTTAACTTTTTGAGCTGCAATGTATGCAGATGCATTGAATTGCAATTTTTTGGGCCAGGTTGAAAATGCTTGCTGAAAATAAATGTGCTACATATTTGCTTCATTATTTATATATCATATCCAATGTTGATTGTCAGCTGAACTTAAGTAAGACTTTTTCATATTTATATATATAAAAAATATTTATTTTTTACAAGTTCAAAACAGTCTAACACAAAAAACATTGCACGTACGTACATCTGTGGTACGTATTTGCTTTCTTGAATTTGCATCATTTGTAGCTTTCAAGCAAGTGCAAACAATTTACAATTAGTTTTCTCTAAATACAGATTTATTCAAAGAAATCTTTGTACATATTGGTAAAAAATATTCATTTTATATATTTTTAATTTTTTATGCAAAAACTAGATTATGCATATATATGCAGTTTGCTGCATTTAAGAAGCCTTTTTAGCTGCTATAAAATGAGGCAAGACAACAGAAAAGCCAAATTTATTGATTTTTGACCCAAATGCTCCCCTCAAATTACATAAATTTTTTGATAATTTAATAAGAATTAATTGGCATTGTTAAATAGTATACCCAGATTGGGTACCGGTATTACCTCTTCTTAGCATAATTTTTAGTTGTAATTGTAATAAATTTTATTTCGATTCAATAATGTACAAATAAATCTATTTATGCTTCTACGTACTATTGGACTGCTTGGAGCGCTGGCTGCCGGCCGCAGCTAGCTCGTCCGGTTGCCAAAAGCACTTTTCTTAACTTTCTTCGTGTTGTATGTTAATTGTATTTTCAGATCTCCTATAACTGATTTCACATGCATAGATGAGCAGAGTGATACCAACCATGTTAATAAGTTATATTGGCTATTTTATAACAGTGCAATAGAGTTCATAACCATTTCTTCCATTCAAAGATTTCCTTGAATCAAGTTCACAGGAAATCAATTGATAATCTTTAGCTTTGGACAAGCTTTTTATCTCAGACAGCACAATGCTAGCCATATCATTGGACAGACTGCCTTGAAACTTCAATTATCACTGATCATGAAGCCGCATCCAATCAGAGCCAGACATTCTCTCTCCCACAGAGTGCCGACTGACTGCAGCCTGCAGTGGTTGACTGGAATTTGTGGAAGAAAGTGTAGTGACCTGTGGCACTTCAGATTATGACAGAGTGCTCCACTTTCCCAATAGCTTATGTTCTTTTATATATACTATAGAATGGCACCATGCTAACTCTGGGTCTGGGGTCACCAAATGTTGAATCTTAAATTGCTCTGCAGGATCTACACAACCTCAGTTCACAATTCCGATGTTCACAAGTTAAAACTGTACTGCTAGATCAGCCTCCAAAAGATCTTGATCATATAATAATTAGTCAGTTATCATGGATACAAAACTGATTTACACCAATTATTTTCTTTATTTCATTCAAATTTTCAAGCTTCCCAGAAGTTGACCATCGAATTTATTATTGTCGCTTGCAATGTTGAAATATTGCCATTGTGAAAATCAATTTTGATTTGAAATAAGGGCTACAGATGGTAAACTATCTATGAAAACACGCTGTGCTTGAAAATTTAGAACTTGCAAATAAATATTGGACAATCAACACATCTAACATAATTTCAACTCTACCAACACCAAAACTACAACAATAGCAAATCTCACAACCGGTAAATACCGCCAGCACCAATCCTACAATTGCCGAGTCTGCATGTTTCAACAGTTGCTCTGCACAATATAATATATATAGTCAAATGGGGTAAGACAGGATCACAGCCTTCATGGGGTAAGAAAGGACCAGCCCATATCATGCATTCTAATTGCACTGAATTTATTTTGATAGAAGAATATGTTAGAGCAATCATTGCATGTCATTTCAGTGCTTGTTTCAACCCTCTTCTGCAAATAATGAATTTCTGGCTAATTTTTAAAGAAAACTTATGTAAAGAAGGGTCACAAAATAATTAACCCTGTTTGGGAAATAAGCTCTGTCTAATGACAAAAATTTTTTTGGCCAATTTTGTGGATGTAGGCATGTAACCTCAAGTAATAAGCAACTTTTGAGACATACTAGGCATTCCCACCTGCTATAACAAGTGGTTGTGTAATCAAATAATGTGTTTCTAGATTGATAATATTGAATATCAGGTTTGTACTTTTATTAAAAACCTTGTAACACAAGAATTACCTGTTGGTCCTGTCTTACCCCATGCCCGGTCCCATCTTACCCCAGTGGGGTAAGATGGGACCAGCTCACTTTTTTTAATCTGTACAGAAAACTCTGTTGTATGCAGAAAGTCTGAGTTGTAGCTTAGAAGCCCATTGCATAACTACACCTTGTGATAGGTTTAGGGTTTTTTATTTATTCATGGTATAGATGCTACATGCTTGTTAGTGATTTCGGTCCTGTCTTACCCCATCTGACTATAATAGAGGTTTCAGCATTTATTAAACCTTAGACCTATTGCCAATTCTTAACATTTCAAAACTTCCATAGCTTGTTGGGTCTTGAACTAGCAACTCACTGCTCCAATTGGGCTTGCAAGGATGACATCATGGCACAAATCGCAAGATGCATTGTGGATGTAGAACCGGCTGCCATATTTGTAGCATGGTCTAGCTTTTGCCTAAGTGTTCAATCTACGGTGCTTGTCTTTTAAAAGTTTCTGCTCGATGATGAGATGCTACTGTGCTGTTGTTGGATGCACCAGTCATTCTCATGACTATTTAAACAGGAAACTGGACTGAACTGGTAAACTGAAGAAACCTTGTTGGCAGTGGTAGTTGAGGCTACCTTTGCAGCACACCCTCTTGTGTCCCTATCATGTGTGTTACAGTGTGTTTTGTATTGAAGTGTTAACTATTTTATTAATTTAAATGTAATCATTCTCATTCTTTTCAAGTCAGGGCTAGATCAGTAACTGATCATCTAAATTTGTATCAAAACCTGTTCTAAAGTCTGGTGCTGAATTAATTTCTGTTCCACGCTCCCTACTCCCTAACCTCTTGAGTGATTTGCTGGAAAGCTCCCCAACCTCTTGAGTGATTTGCTTGGAAGCTCCCCATAACCTCCAACTTGCTTGATATTGGAAGCACTTATTGGGGTGCATCTTACTCATTGGTCTGCGTGCTTTTTCTTGGTGTCATCTTTAGTTCAGCTTCAGTTAATCATTTTTACACATTCTCTATTATTCTGTCATTTTCCTGTCACTCTTACTGTATAAGATTCCAATAGCTATAAGAACCAGTATTTCCATTTCATTTTACTTTTCCAAATTTAGTCATCATATTAGTCAAGTTCATTCTTTGTTACCAACCAGTCAGATAAAGTAGGCAACCAGTTTTTTTCACCCGCATTGAGACACAGGTAACAACATCAAATGCATTTCTTTAGTTTACCAGCCCTGAATTCTGTGTAAATCGTATCAGTTTACATATTGTACTGATGATATAAGTTTTGTACAAACAGTATAAATATATCAGTTTATCAGCCATGAATAATTATGATATATGATTCTATATCTTTTTCAGAAAGCAAAATCTATTACTTGCCACAAGATGTGCTTTATTAGTACAATAAAAAGTAATACCAACTTGTCACTTTTTTTGGAAAAAATTATCATTTGTAAGTTTCCTATGAGCCAATTTCAAAGTTTTTACTACCATCAGAAAGCTCTTGTTGTAGGCTATCTATTCTAACTAGAATAAAACATTTTGGTTGAGGCTTTGACTGCAGGTGGGTGGGGGAAATGGGTTCAACTGATACCTAGATAAGAATGCTATAACTTAACTTAAAGGCTGAATTGGATGGAATAAATTTCAGTTTCATGGTCTTGGCACCATAATTGAGCTTAAAAAATATGAAATTAAATTGAATATGCAAATAAAATTTATTAGTAATAATAATATTATTAATTTTTATTAATAATAATTCTTACCTACTTAAAATAAATATTAGTGAATATTGATAATAATAATATTAAATATTGATCATCATAACATCACGTCTCATCTCATCTTGTGTCTTGTCTAATCTCATGTCTTGTCTTGTCCTGTCTCATCTCCTGTCTTGTTTCGTGTCTCGTCTCATGTCTTATCTCCTCGTCTCATGTCCAATCTCATGTCTTGTCTCGTGTCTCATCTCCTTATCTCAAGTCTTGTGTCATGTCTCGTCTTATGTCTCGTCTCATATCTCAGTCTCATGTCTCATCCCATGTCTTGTCCCATCATCCCATGTCTCGTCTCATGCCTTGTCTCATCTCGAGTCTCATGTCTTGTCCCATGTCTTAGTCTCATGTCTCATCTCATATCCTGTCTTGTCTCATCTCATATCTTAGTCTCATGTCTCATCTCATATCATGTCTTGTCTCATTTCAAATCTTGTCTCATCACTC